GGTCGGACGATATTTCTCAAATGTGATATGCAAAATATGGCGAATTGGCTCACTCGTTTTGATTTTAACTAGAGCAAATTAGAACATATATAAAAAATATAGCTGGAACAGATATTGAATCTTTAAAAACAAATATAGTTTAAGGTTTTTTGATTGGGGATTGCACCACGCGAGCTAGGCAGTCCTACTTAATGCATGACCTTATTAGGAGTTATTCCTCGGCTTATCCAGCAAAGTTTATTGCACTTAATAAATTAAACGTGATGCCCCGCTAAATTTCAATTTCAACCGCAGATTAATCTATATTCGCTCTTTCGTACGCTTTGGTTTACAGTACGCCTAAGTTTAACTGTAAAGGCAAAACAATTATGCCTGCGGATTGAAATCATACCATTTCGTATATAGATAGGTATCAGAAACGTTTTTGTCAGCTTTTTTAATTTAAGCCCAAAGTACAAATACTGTATGTATTGTATGAAGCCCAAAATGTTGATTGAAGAATTAAAATCTATAATAATTCCCATTGGTCACTATTTGGGCTTTTTGTGTGCTTGATTTACACAGTGCAACTCAAGTTCTAGGTAAAAGTTGTGTAGTGTAAATCGCCAGTTTAGAGAGCTATGAAGCAAGAGAGAACTTCAAGCGTTGTGTAAGGGATGAAAATCTTTACCAATCAATCAGATCCAGTTTATTCAGAAAGTCTTTCAAGAGAATCACACCAGACCAATCCTCCGGAAATCTCTAGGAATCTGGCTTGGTTACAAGACAAAGTAAGAAATAAATGTGTCCAAATATTATTGTTTTGCATCTACCTCCACCGCAATTGTCCTTAGAAGTCCTTACGTCACGTCCGTGTCAAACAATGAATATTTCACCCACACTGCATTGCGTATACCTAATCAGTATTATTATTATCATCTTTATTAGGGTCAATTAATCATATTTTACAATAATTACAAAACATACACATATAAAATATTCAATCAAACTATTAATAGAATATACAGGGTGTATCAAAAAAAGTAAGACAATTTTAAAATTGCTCTCAATTCCACAATTCTGTTCATGAAATGTAATTTTTGCTATATATGGATTGCTTGAGTTCTTAAATTATGGAAAATATAAAAAAATTGAAAATAGTAAATTTTGCTATCCAGGGGGGTGGTCAACTTTTGCTCCCCTAAAAGTGGCTTGCGCACAGAAATGACAAACGGTATTCATTATTTGAGTTCATGTGTGAAAAGTTCGCTATTTGTTGCATTTATGATAAAATTTCGGCAGGATTTTACCAAGTACAAATCCTCCGAAAAGCCTATGAAAACGTTACATTTTTCTCTGTTGGTGCTGTTCTTGCTTCATTATGAATTCATTTTTACTCCCATGAGAGTTCCATGGAATTTCCATGGAATTTGTGCTTTCGAGTTGTTTGTGCTGAAACGCATTTTCTCGTATAATACCCCGTACACTTTGAAATGGCAATGCCACAATTTACCCCGCAGCAGAGAGCTTTTATGGTATCAGAGTTCCTCCGTAACAACAACGTAAACTTGGTTCGCCAAAGTTTCACGAAAGAATATCCAGATGTACGATGCCCTTCACGTTTATGTTGTTGCTACGGAGGAACTCTGATACCATGCGTAAAAGCTCTCTGCTGCGGGGTAAATTGTGGCATCGCCATTTCAAAGTGTACGGGGTATTATACGAGAGAATGCGTTTCAGCACAAACAACTCGAAAGCACAAATTCCATGGAAATTCCACGGAACTCTCATGGGAGTAAAAATGAATTCATAATGAAGCAAGAACAGCACCAACAGAGAAAAATGCAACGTTTTCATAGGCTTTTCGTAGGATATGTACTCGGTAAAATTTTGCCGAAATTTTATCATAAATGCAATAAATAGCGAACTTTTCATACATGAACTCAAATAAAGAATACCGTTTGTCATTTCCGTGCGCAAGCCACTTTTAGGAGAGCAAAAGTTGACCACCCCCCTGGATAGCAAAATTTACTATTTTCAAAAATTTTTATATTTTCCATAATTTAAGAACTCAAGCAATCCATATATAGCAAAAATTACATTTCATGAACAGAATTGTGGAATTGAGAGCAATTTCAAAATTGTCTTACTTTTTTTGATACACCCTGTATATATATATATATATATATATATATATATATATATATATATATATATATATATATATATATATATATATATATATATATATATATATATATATATATATATATATATATATAGATGACAAAATACAATGTTCGTATCAGCCAGTTCGACATTTATATACAACAGAATAGCTGGCTACGATCCGAGAGAAACCAATACTAAAAATGTACTAAAGTAATAAAGTTTTAATTTTCGACTGAATGTCTCAGCCTTCCTCATTTCTGAGGAAGGCTGAGACATTAAGTCGAAAATTAAAACTTTATTACTTTAGTACATTTTTAGTATTGGTTTCTCTCGGATCGTAGCCAGCTATTCTGTTGTATATATATATATATATAAATAATTGCTTTGCGTGCTTTGTAAATAGGATTAATTTAAAGCTTTCATCCACTTGTACATAAATACTGTAGGTTTTTTGCTGTAGTCATAAGGCTAATTTATCTGATGAGTGCCACATCTTGTGGTACGAAACTAATAGTAATAAAGATGCCTAGTGGAATTTGTTGAGTCGTTGCACTTATTTTATATATATATATATATATAGATATATAGATATATATAGATATATATATATAATACTTTGGTTCCACAAACTAAAGTATTGTATGTTTTATATATCGCCATGCATGCAAACCTACAAAGTCTACCTTATAATTAAGCCAAAAGTTGGACTATTTTGCTGTTTCGGCCGCCATTGTCATTAAGGCATGCAACGCATTTACAAGCAACAAAATCGATTTGTGGTATATGGCTATACAGTCGCTGGAATACAGCTGCAACCGAATTTTGGTGCTGTCGACTTCTAGATTTGAGAGTCAATGACAATATCGTACTAAATGATGTTGTATTGTGCTATATACTGTGAATAAGTGCATTATAAAACCTGGAATTTTTAAATGTAAAAACTTGACTTAACCCAACTTTGACTTTAAATTCCTATCAGAAAAACGGCTCTTCAGAGAAAATGCAATATTTTCTGGGGGCATGCCTCCAAACCTCCTCGGTTGAACCCTTCCCCATAAATATAAACAATTTGATTCAGACGGCGCTGATCCTATCACACAATACCACTGCTTTTCATGGCTAGAAATCTCGGACAGTCAGCGTTTCCGACTGCGGGCTCAAAAAATTTCCACGCGTGTGCGTGACGTTCGCGTGACTTGTAGTAAACATAAATAATCAACAATGTCTTTTCATAAAGAGTTGAATAACTTGAGCGGAGCTGATTTTTGTGAATATTTAACAACGAGATGCAATAAAAGAAAGGCCGCAAAGTCGATCGTCGAGTGAGTTGTTCGCGGTTGAGCGGGTAATTTCGCGAAGAAACCGACGAGGAAAGATAAATTTATACGTTCTTTTATATATGCTTTAGAGAAATATCACTTTAAAAGGATAGACATTTCAAGACATGTTTCTTGCTATGGAAGTTGTATCAGTTTTAAAATATAAAAAATATTTGCTCAGCACTATATTTTCTCAACTTTCCAAACTTTTTAAAACTTAGAAGTTCAAATTGGATTTTAACAATTCGCATTTCCCGCGATTTGTTTTGTTTATGAGCCTGTTTATGTCGCAGTTGTTAGTCAGCGGCTACTCCTTCGAATGTTTTCAAAATGGCGATAATAAAAAGACAGATATTTGGCAAAATTTCGTGTTTTTTTCTTTGTTAAATGGCTTTCAATGGCTGGAATGGCATTGTTAAATTTGGCCTGAAAACAGGGAATTTCAAAGCCAAAACGCCGCGTCGCTACAAGCTATGGTATTCTAAAACTTATTCGGAATGATAGCTCGAACATCGTGCAAGAAAATTAGACGTGTGCACCTTGTTGGGAAACTCGTTGGGTCGCGCAACAACGAGCTAAATGCAGCAAGTATGAAGGATTTGCTGGGTTTAATATAAGCTTATATTGTGAGAAAATATTGTGAATTGAATTCAGTCGCGCCGGATAATGGCAAATCGCGAGGGGTCGAAAACATACACCGATATATTTTCAGGTAATGTGTATTATTTGTAGACGTGTGCACCTTGCAAATCATGCTGTAATCGGGACCGGCTAAACGGAGAGTTATGAAATGGAGAGTTATCTCGGAGAGTTATGATTTCGGAGAGTTATGTTCGAACCACGCCCAAACCACGCCCACTTTTCCCAACGACCACACCCAATTTTTTAACTCTCTCGACGTTTCCTTGAACTAACATGAGAGAGTTATGTTTGACGTAACTCTCTCTCATTAACATTATGAAGATGTTAGAGAGTTATCATTTTTTATAACTCTCCGCATTCATGATTGTGGCAATGAAGAGAGTTATGGCAGTTTTTTGAAAAACACTTCCACTTCCTTTTTTCTCACGTGTCAGTTTTAACATTTCACGCTAGTAGAAACTAATAGTACTTTACTTTTTTTTTACTTTTTTTTTCTTTACTTTTTTTTTTACTTTTTTTTACTTTACTTTTTTACTTTTTATAGTACTTTATGAAGAGAGTTATGTCAGTTTTTGGAAAAAAACTTCCACATTTTAATAATTTTTTGTAAATTTACTTTTTTCTCAAGTTTTAACATTTCACGCTAGTAGAAACTAGTAGTACTTTAGTACTTAGCAAGTGAAGCGAGCACGAGTAAATAAACAGTTAATTATTTATTGTTTTTATTATTGTTTATAACTTTTAGCAAAACCATAACAATGAACCAAACACCAAAAAAGCAATATCTAACAAATAACATCTTAATAATTTTTACGGTTTGTAAAAATATATAGTTTTTAATCAAGTGTATACAAACAGAGTTTCTAGTTTGTTCCTTTGGACATAGAGCTACGCCATGGGCAAACCCCTCTCCACCAACATTTCATACTCTTGCAGGCTTAATGCAGTCCCCTCACCAACGAGCACTTGAAATGGAGGGCATATTAAGTTTGACGCCAGCGGCTTTTTTGAAACACAGTTTAAATTTGCGCAAAAATAGAAGTTCCTGCTCACGCAGAAATTGCAGTTTTGTGGTACATACAAACCGCTCACGTGGATGCAAATTCTTCCCGGAAGTATTTTGCTGCTTCTGCACCCCGCACAAGATGGTTGTTTTCCCTTGCCAATTTTCTTCATTGCTGTCCAAACTTGAGGAGCGGTGTTAAGAGGCGAATTTTCAAACAAACCATTGATCTCGTCATTCGTCATCTTCGGTACTTTACCACTAGAGATGTTTGCTGTTGAAGTAGATGGCATGTTACTTGCCGATGAATGTGTGTTATGAGCGAAAGACCCACTTGTTGTTGAAGATGGTCTGAATAGTCGGGGAGGGATTACAGCTGGAGCGTTAGATGTTAGCTCCAGTATTTCAGATTCTAGTAGCGCTACTTGGTTAATTAGTTTACTCTCCTCGGGGATCTCCAACACAAACAAATACACCCATAGTATATGTTTGCATATTTTCTGAGTGTTGTTCTGTTTAACAATATAAAAGGGACATTCACAATGCGGGGTAGTTGTCACTGAAACAAGGTAAGTGTTCCTAGAATTGACGGAATATACCATAAATTCATGTTTTCCAAGATTTGCCGAAACTAACTGGAAAGGCTCGTTTTTCGCCTTCTTCAAGCTTTGTTGAAATACTTTGCTTCTTGTTTGCCGCCATTTCGCTTCCCTTTGTTGAGACCCTTTATGTTTCTTAAAGGAAGTACGTTCGCTGGAACTACTTCTTTTGTCAGGCCGATGTGAACAGCTCGTTGGAGTAAAAGAGTCCGAAGCGTTCTGACGAGAATTTTGACCTTCGGAAATGGTTTCGCCTCCCTTTCGAATTTCTTCTGCGTATACTCTTGCACGTCGCATTTGTTCAACGCGCTCTTTTTGTTCTCTGGTATGAAAGTCTGGGCCGTCTCCTCCCTTAAATGTTCCTGCCTTGAAACATTCAAATTCTGTCTCCAGCATCATTGATTCTACTGTGTCATAGTAAGCAGCATCGACAAGCGATAAATTGTTGATATCACTGTTGGACCAGATAGAGTTAAATGAATCGGCCAAGTTTGTACTTGGGACGCCGTGCAGAGGACGGAATTCTGGAAATACGTGAGATCGCCTGCTGTACCACCAGGTTAACCAGTTAAGTAGGACGTGTTCACGGTTGGGTTTCGACTTGATAAAATTTAAGCATTTTTCATAGGACTCCATGAATCCTGAAGGCGTAACAGCTGTGAAAAGCGCATTGGATAATCTGGTAAATATATCACGTTCTTCGTCTGTCAGTAACTAACGCCGGTGATCGTTCCTACTTTGCTGATAGTGAAATTGACAGCTAACGATTCTTGTCTGAACATCATCTCCGTAAACTTCTTCAAGTCCTTTCCAGTTTGACCCTGCTTCGTCTACCATCCATCCACATGGATTGAATTTGTAGAAATTTTGCCTAGACACGGTTTGCAAAACTTTATTGAACAACTCCCACATTATTTTCACAGATCTGGTGTCTTCCTCTTTGCATTCCATGGTTGCTAACTTCACTATCTTTCTTAAAAGTGGGTGGAATGTAGTGATGCTAAATGTTTTGAATCCTCGACATCTTTTATGGGCCGCGTCAAAGAAAACCCACTCTTTCGACATATAGTGGTTGCCGGACTTATCCATTTCCAAAGCAATTTTAGCCAAAAAGGTGCTGCTTTTGAAAACATATGATGGATTCTCGTTCATACCCTCGCCATTTATCTCAAAGATAAGGAACGGATCGTGTGCATCTAGCTGTCTCTTAAGATGAACTACTGCATCAAAACTGTGTCCATGCGGGTGGGTTACTTTAGATTGTTTTTGTTTTTCGTTTCTAAGTTTTTTTTTGTCGAGAAGATTGGTGGCCAACTCTTTTACGGCGTTCACATTACCGGATTCTCGAAGAGAGTTAACCAGAATATCGCGTTGTAATTTGGAGGGTTTAGTCTTGGGATTTCTACTGAAGGTTTCGCTAATTTCTTCGGGGAAGGTCATGGGAATTCTTGCTGGACATGTGTGGAATCCTAAATGCCTGACAATGACGTGCTCTTGGTAAAACTCCCATATTTTTCTTGCCTCGCATGGTATGTGTTGCATTAAGTGATTGCAACACTTGCATAGCCGGGTCCCAGCAGCAGTTTTCTTCCATTGCACGTTGTTTTCTTTCCCATATTGTACATAAAACATACATAGATTGTTTATGCATGTGTAACTGCCGCCACATTTCGCTGCTTTTCTTCGACCATTAGGAAACTCTTTCGTGTTACATGTGTACGACTTTTCCCAAGATCTTCCATCTGCGCTGGACTTGAGTCGGTCTACGGGATCGAAACTTAATTTGAACACGCATGTTCCATCGATGTCGTACGGAATTTTTTCCACCTCTCTGGCTTCAATATCCTCCCACCATGTTGGATCTACCTTCTTTGATCGTTTTCTTTCTTTCACTTCGGCAGCTTTCTTCTCACCCATATCTTTCGATACACATATTTTCAATGTTGGATTACTAGTTGACGTAGTACAAGATCCTGCTTTTCGATTACATTTACAAGAGATATTTTGTGCTGTTCAGCTAAGAGCTTTAATTCTTTTATCGACTTGGACCGGAGAAACAACTTTATCTCTTTATCATCAACGCAGAATGTAAAATTTTCGTCATCAGAACTGTCCGGGTCATCGGCGAAAATATCCCGGTACATATCTTCATTATCAATGCTACTGTCGCTACATTCGGATTCATCAATAATATCTTCGTCTATGGAAAGATCAATAAATACCTTTTGCGCTTCTGTTTTTTCCATAACCATTGCTTGGTATTCATCACATGTCAAGGCAACATCGTAATGCTGTCTAGTTGGTGAGTAGATCAGTGTTATTTCTGGAGGTCGGTTAACAATTGGTTCGTTATCAGGTATGTCGTATGATGGGGGAATGTGAAAGGTACGAATTTCGCCATTTTTGTCCACTTGAAGTATTATACAACACACACCAGTGATGTTGGCAAGTGCATAAGGCAATAAATCTATAGAATTACCAGCGTAATCATTATATTTCAAGAACCTCTCGAAATCATCTTCGTAATTACCAATGAGTTGATAGTGGTTTGGGTTTTTACGCAAATCGTCAACTGCATCAAACTTGAGTGCCGCATTTCCACCGCTGTAATTTTTCTGCAAGTGTGTTTTCATTGCGATTTGCCAGCTGCTTATTAAGCACAATCCATCACTAGCTACCGACCACTTACGAAGACCATTCAAATATAAGAACTCCTCTAAAGCGGCATTTTCTTCCATGTGTTGATCAAATGTGAAGAGACTCGATTCTTTGGCACCAGCAAAACATTCAACTAATTTAACCACATGGAAACCAAACGAGTGTCTAAAATAGAATACAAAACAAAATAAGAAAAACGTACGTCGCTCGCTTCCATAGCAATAAAAAATATTAAGTTGGCACAATCATTAAATTTTATATTGTCTTAAACGAAGTAACTCATAAAACTGTAAAGTAACTTCTTTTGAGATATTTGTTTCCTTGTCTAATTGTCGAAATATGTTTATGAAGCATTGCAGAGCACGTGACGTCATTCACTCCATTACATACATATCTTTGTTATTTTTTGTCAACATTTTTTGAAGATGTAGCACGTGTTAATTTCACAACGGCATTAATTTAAGTATACTACTTTTTTGAAAACGAACAACAAAGCAAAGATCGATGTGCAACATTTTCTGATATCTTGTTATACATGTTATTAGGTGAATAACGTCATATGTTTGCAATTAATGTTTAATTAAACAAAATGAAATATCGCAACAAGTTATACAAGTTACTTTACATTTAAGAAAATAAAAAAAATAATGATAGTGCCAGTGTAAGTATGCATCCACACTGGCCTGACCACGGTGGAAATCGAACCCGCAACCTTTGGGATACTAGTCTGTCAACTGAGCTTCGAGGTCAAGTCGGTTCGAGCCGGTGTATTTCGGAACTGAGTCTAGTTCCTTCTATATTTATGTACTCTATGATATGATTTTTTGGGTGTTGGTGTTATGTACTCGAGCGAATATGATGCTTGTGATGTTACTCTGAATGTGCATAGAATATATAGATATCGAAGAAACTAGACTCGAAATATCACCAATCGAACCTGTCAATTGTAGTCACTCGTCATCACATACTTTTGTTCGGTATGTGAATCAACTTGTAATGATGCCATTGTATTATAAAATAACTAAGTTCTCTGCAAAAGATTATTTATCCCTTTAATATTGGAAAAAACCCAGTGACTTATACCTATGGCAATTTTGCTCTTCTAAATCCCTCTTCTTTTTAAGGAACACCACACACGATCTCAGTAATTCCAATAATTTTTCAAATGCATCAATAACAACAGAAGAGATCTTGCATTTGGACCCCAGGTCATCTACAGGAGACATAAGCTGGATCTCGATCCAATCTTGCTCTGGTATATAACACAACACTCTATAATCACCGACTAAACTGCAATTGCTTTTTTCATCGTTCCATTTAACTCTTGTTACAACCAGGGGAATATTCTTCTCTTCTCGTTTTTTCAAAATTGATGATAACTGATCAATTTTAGGATTTGCTAAATTTTTTCTAACACCAAAATCGAAAACAGATCCAGTAGATGGAAAATCTCTGCTGTACGTTTGCTGATCAATGATTTCCCCTTCTTTCAAACATCCAACGTCACATTCATCGTTGTATTGTCTAACAGCTCTTAATGCGTTCTTTATGCTATTCTTGTACCTTTTAGCATCGTTGTAGTCAAGTTCTTGAGCTTCTACTTGGGAAATAATGGAATGACTACCTAATTCGTGAAGTTTAGCAAACAAATCACATACAGCAGCATTCTGCACACCCAAAAAAGAAAAATAGTCCATATAAGACAAATAATATAAAAAATCAATATATGGTGTGTTAATTTAAATTATCTTATCTTAACATATTGTATTTTTTCGTTGGTATTAATAATAGGATACTAATTCTTACATTGTTCGTTTTAAGCAAAATATTTCCGTACTCTTTTATAAAGTCGGTTTCTTCCAAACCAGCTTCGCCTTTGGCTTTTGCTTTGTCAGGGTGATGTTTGGCTAGCCACAACCTAATAATAAGTAAAAATTAATATTGAATAGTTTAAGAGAAATTTTACAATTGTTTTTACATTAATAGTATTTTATCCCTCATCCAGCGTAAGTTTACCGCCAAATTACATCAGCAAAACTTTCCCGCTATATGTCGTCATAGGTATGTGCGATTAGTATTCATGCGTCACAGGTGTGTACTAAGTGTTTTAAAGTCATATGACGCCATAAGTATTGCCTTTGTGTAATGAGTATTCATACGTCATAGGTGCTATAGTACGTGCAGTGCGCACGGTGTTTTACGCTTTGTTCGCAGATTTAAAACACCGTGCGCAGTGATACAGTACGCACCTGTGACGTATGAATACTAATTACACAAAGGCAATACATGTGACATTATATGACTTTAAAACATCGCTGCACCATTGGTTCCGGCATCTCCTGGAAGTTTGCAATCAAGCAAAGTTCTGAACTCTACATTCGAGATATTTTTGTACGAACAAGTTTTCTACCATGCACAGGCGCTGGGCTCCAAAATTGACGCACGGCGTGATAAATTCGGAAATCGCTATTTTTTCGGGCAATCGTTTTCCGTTTTCCGGCCACAGACAATGATAAAATTCAATAGTGAGGAAAACTATTGGGAAACATTTTATATTATGAACTGAAAAATATTATTTGCGAAAAAGTTTTATAATATGAAGGAAAAAGTTATGTCCGGAAAAATTTTACATGCTTAATTAATTGTTGCAAATTGTTGTGTCCGAAAAAAATTTACAAGGTTAATTGTTGTTAATTTGTATGTCGGGAAAAAAAATTTTCGATGACTTGCCGTCCCCCGCTCACCAACATTTTTAGGAAACGATTTTGGGTTGGATTTTCGCGGAAAATTTTCGGTCCAAAGACCTCAGCCCCCACCCCACCCCAATTGAAACAGGATCCGTACACCTATGTCCCAATCCACGCTCTTACTCAATACATTTTCCATCTCTAAACTTTAAATTTTAATTGAATTTCTGAAGATTGCGTGACGAGAAACATATGGTGATATGCAGGCGTAGTTGCTCAGCAACCGGATTGTTTGCCCTCGACCTCAGGCGAAATGGGTTGACTCCGGCTGTGGGACTACAAACACGGCCGAGTTTATCTATTGGTCGAGTGTAAAATGTCGAGGGTAAAAAGTAAAGGGTTAAATATCGACTTCTAAATGTCGAGGGTAACATGTCGAGGGTTAAATATCGACTATTGCTGCCTGCACGGCTGCATGCTAAGTGCATGAGGACGTAAAGCCGTCGAACCCGTAATTTGGCTGCATTAATTATAAGTACTAGATAAAACATGAGCAGCCGATCTGTATCTGATATACAAACTCGAGCCGAAGGCGAGAGTTTGTATATCAGATACAGATCGGATGCGAATCGTACTTAAAAGATGACCCTTCTGATGAGTTCATTGGCGAAGTAATTTTAAAAATAAACATGTCTGTGCAGAGAAAATCAAAGCTGAAGTTTATGTAAATCAGGACAAATCTTTATCCGATTTACAAACATTGATTAAACATTCATTTCTTTTGTATTTTCCTCGTGAATTATTAATGAACCCTCGACATTTTACCCTCGACTTTTTACCCTCACACTCGACATTTTACTCTCGACATGCAACACTCGACCAATAGATAAACTCAACACGGCCAAGCCCAAGTGGGGAAAAAGATTAAAAATGTAGTTATTTGCACAAATAAACCGGAAAAGCATAAAAGTGGCCAAACATTGGAGAGTGCCGGTGGCAAAACAAAAAACTTGTAATCTTGATGTGCTCGTGTGAAGGAAACAGTTGTGCTTTTCTAACCATGCCGACCACTTCATACCCTATTGATAACAGTATAATCACTTTTCGGTCTTTTCCTAGCGCATTCTTACGATACCATTGGCAGACAAAAGTGACAGATAGAACAACATATTAAAAGACTCAAATATCTTATAGTTTCAAACATATAATAATAATATAATAATATACTCAACGCCAAAACTCAAAAGTACCAGAAACCTAGCCAGTCAGTCGACAGTATTATTACAACCAGCACGTGCACGTATAACTTTTCGAGACATTGTCTTGGCGGGTTTTTTCCATGTGAAACTGTTAGTGCTTTGAGCATTATTTTGGAAAAACAAGAGACTATAGCCAGTTAGCCACCAACCAAGATTATAATTGATAGTATAAGATGCTAACGTCATTCGCTCACGCTGTGCACTATAAGTCATTCTATCTTTTTTTCAAATATGAATTTCACTTACTTGTACGATTTCGATAGTGAGTGATTTTTTCCATCGAGATGACCAGATTGACTATTGTTGATCGTCTGTATTGGATC